TACAGAATGCTTGCTGGAAAAAAGAGTGAATGCTACACACATAGTAACGCTTTTGATTACTCTAACTAATACATGCCACTAAAATGTTTCTTGTAAAAAGATATGAAATCATTTAATTATAAGAATAATATTTTCAGAAATTATAGGCTTAAGTTCGTCTATGAAACCCCACAAAAATTATTTTTTTGTATGAAAACGCACAGTTAGATTGAGAAAAGTTGCAGATTGGCGGAAGCACACGTCTAGCAAAACTTTTCAGCATACATTTTTTAAAGTGAGTCAAAATTTGTTAACATGCATCTTTCAACTAGGAATACGGTGTTTAAACGATTTCAAGTTTACGGATCAAGTTGGAAGTTTCTCGATTCTTTGTCAGTTGGAAGCTTCTAAAGGAATAAGTTCCAGGTCTGGAAATGCCTGTGAAGTAGCGTGACAGAGAAGGGCTTAGCAGGCTTTGACCGAAGAAAATGAAAGATGTTTCGAGGAGTATATCAGCCTAAACGTCCCAGTACACTCGAAGAACAGAAAATCAAGGGAATCCGTCACTATATTCTGGTGAGATCAACATTTTAATCTCTTCACCATACACTTTTAAAGACAATCCGCATTAAATAAGTGTATACAGCATACTGTATATGTCGTAATATGTCATGTGCTCGACTCTGTGAGGGCTGTGCTCATAAGACCGTCATCTCCCCAGCATCCACCGCACATATTGCAAAACATCGGTGCCAAGCAATTGAAAATTCGGTATATGATCCTTTTCAAGTTGAAGATTGTGTAAATAGAATATAGTACTAATTGTGGCATAAGTAAGCGATAGTTTCGAGATTACCCTCCATTGCTAAAAAACAACATTTGCAATAAACAAAGATAAAAAGTCAGCTCAGCTGCCAAAAACTTCATCGACTCAGATTACCTGTGATTGGGAAGCAATATAGAAAGATTTATTTTATTGTTAGGAGAACGTTGGCTTTGACGACCTGGTGCTATTATCCAAATAACCCTGATCATAAGAATGGAGAGGTTGTATGATGATTTAAGGCTTAAAGGTAAACCTCTGTTCGGTTAGGCTGCCCATAATATAGAAAAATGGCTCAGCTTTATAGAAGCTGTTGCATCTTTGGCACGATCAAAGTATAGATACTTCGATAGTTCAAGGATTAAGTTATTACCTCTTTAGATATCCCTCTAAGTACGGGGCTCAAAGCGTTTCTAGGAATTTGTTTACGATGCTTAAGCCAGAGGCGTCCGTTGTGCAATGATGCCATCAGTCTGACGATACTCCACTCAGCGCAAGGACGACTGATAAGTCGTCTGCGAGCGGTGCTGCTGAGAAGGCTGAGGCGACTGGGGCCCGGTAGTGACTGAGAAGAATGCATCCCCTTGGATAAAACAGTAAGTTGTAGACTGCAGGACGCTTCACCTAACCTATTAGAACAAGGCGGCATCATGAGGACACGGTTGGCACAATTTGAGACAAGCAGTAAGGGGTATTCGCCCTCGATCACATGTTTTAGTGATGCCGTCACTTGGACAGCATCGGTCATGAGACGGACGCCAGTTCTCTTGGCATACGATACCCAGTAGACTAGCTCCAAACTAGGCAGGTTCAGACTGAAGTGTAACGATCTGTAAGAAAAATCAAGGAGAAACCAAAAGTGTAAAGTGAACTAATAATAAGCGAGAAAATAAAAATCCTTCCTAAGTTATAATATGTTTTAATTTTTGGTGCGATAGCTCCCCCCTATGCACCACAGGTTAGCCTAATGTATCAGTTCTATCAGTAAATATGGTTAAGTTAAAACATGTGAAAAACACATTGTGATTGTGACGACAGCTGAGTAAGTTTAAATTGCAGGAATATTAATGGTTCAGATTTTCGGTTATTCCCGATGATGGAAAGGACATAAAAATGAAACAAAAAATTAAAGGTATCGAAAAGGTAGCTCTAGCTTTAATTATCTTGTTAGACGGTAGTTATAAAGACCAGACACAAGTTTAG